AATAATCGCGATGAAATAGATTCCACAATATATATGAAAAAGTGTATTAATGCGGAAAAGAGAAAGCAAAGATATATATTTTTTTTAATTTTCAAGAAAAAGATTTTTTTATACATGAAAGAATATTTTGTAATATAATAAGTATTTTTTTATTTTTCAAGTGTAATATTGTTACTTAAGAAAGGACACACTTTGTACAAATAGTAATATATTATAAATATCTCTTTATATATTCTATAATATTTATTGACATATTGTTCATATATTAGGATCTATTTCTATTGTTTATATAATGCTTTATTTAGACATTGTATATTAGTGTATTATATATCTCAAATATACATTCATTCATGACGAGTTTTAAAGTACTTTACAGATTGATATGATAAAAATCTCATCGTTTATTGCATTAATCAAAAGTATACGTAATATGTATGATGATCAATCATGATAAACTAAGTATGTGCGATACACATTATCTTGAATTTCATTGTTATGCTTCTAGTTTCTCAGAATTCTTGATTAATGACTCTTCTTGATTAATGACTTGATTAATGACTTCAAAGACATACAACAAAGAAACAAAGAAATATTAAAAATTCCTACGATTTTTGTTGAAGTAAAAAAATATATTTATAAAATAACACTTGCGAAATAAAAAAATATGTTTATAAAATGATACTGGAATCGATTGAGCATATTTTCAAAATATTTTGAAAATCTTTTTTATTTTAATAATCAATAAATAACCATAAAATTAATATGATGAACTTTCGTTCCCAATCTATCTTATATGACTATGTCAAGTTAACTTTTTGTTTATTTGTTACTTTAAACGAAAGAAAAGTTTTCGGATTAGTTAGAAGTCTATTCAATTGATTGTATATGTACAAATTTGTACAAATCTGTACAAATTTTTGATTTATTCCCTTGTTTTTGATGTGATTAAAGATGACTGCAGCGAAGAAATAGTATAGCCTTAATTTGATTGATAGGACCACTTGATACTACAATCGTTTTATTTTGCTTAGAGAAAGATTATAATTGGTCTATATGGCACTTCAAAACGTCTGCAGTATGAAATAAATTCTACTCTATATATAATGCTGGAAGCGATAGTATGATAATGTAGTTGACTTGTTTTTGGATCATTATTTTGTACATGTTTGATTTTGCAACATTATTAGAAAATTTTAATTATGCTGCTGCCTTAAGCGAACTTTCACATTGGTTTCATCGCAGCGAGAATGCCTTGACATTAATTGAAACTCGTTCGTTTGCGCATTTCCTGACATTCACATAATCGGTAAGCAAGTATGTATGGACTGTCAACAATTCATTTTTTCCTTTTAGCGAATTTGGAATGAATGACATTATTGATGTAGAATAGATCGAGTTGTATATTACTTACGATGTATATCACTTACTCGAGAAAGCAAAACGTATAAAAAAATATTAGAAAAATCAAAAAATTCAGAAAACAACATCTAATGATTAGCTATTGCACATGTAACTGGAAAAAAAATTCCTTTTTCCTCTTTTTCCTATTTCCACACTTTTTTATTTTTTCTTTTTCTTTGCCCCCTCTCATCATCATATTAAACCTTGAATGAGTGCGACCGTGTAACAATTAGCTTCCGGAAATTGATACTCGTGTCACGCCTTGGTCAAGGTCGTTTTTCCTTTATATTTTTGCATAATAAACTGGTAAGGTTTGCGCAAGTGGTGAACGTTCACTTTTACTTCTTCTATAAGAAACTAAGACTGGTATTCTGAACTTTCTTTTATCGATAAAAGTGGTTTTAAAAGTAGCTTATAGCCAATCAGAAAGCTTGAAACACTTTTATCGATAAAAGAGAATTCAGAATATTATTCTAAGCATATTTATCATCGTCGAAATGTCATTATCGTATGTTATGAAATCTCGGCAATGAAAAACCATAATTGCGAATTCTTTTACAAATGTACAAACACATTGACATAAAATATATTCCATGAGATGAATATTTATTTAGTCTTAATACAATTTCATAATAAGCCTGATGACGTGCATTTATGTCTAAATATAAAAATGAGTCAAACTTTTCATGACTTATTATGTGCGTTATGTAGGAGATAGGTTCAAAAATAATTTTATATATATTTTAGAGATGTGCGAATCATTTTTATGTCGAATCGAATCGAATCGAATCAAATCTCATTTTTTTAATTCGAATTCGAATCGAATCTATGAAATTTCACTCGAATTCGAATCGAATCGAATGAAATCATCGAATTGAATCATTAAAAAATTTAACATGACTATTAAATATGCAAATAATGATGGACGATTTTAATATGAAACGGAATATTGATATTGTAATATCATTTTAAAGTAAAATATATATTTAAATATTTAAAGTAATTTATAATTAAGTTATTAATTATAAGTTAAGTTAATTACAAGTTAAGAATTCGAACATATAGGCCCAGATGGCCCATTTTGTAGCTGATGCACGCAAACGATAATGTATTTGATTCCTATTCGAATTATTCGGATTCGAATCATAGGGATTCGGATTCGAATCGAATCGAATTACATTAGATTCGATTCGATTCGATTCGAATTCGAATAGTTCACACATTTCTAGTATATTTTATATATTATTTATATATATATTATTTATATATTATTATAGTATACTATATACTATATATTATATACTATTATTATATAGTTATATATAGTAATAGTATAGTAATAGTAGTATAATAAATATAGTAGTATAGTAAAAAATAGAGAACAGTTTTTAAAAATTTTTGTTTGAAATGTCATAGATGAATTGTAATTTAGTTTAGAGATCAATTTTATTATTTTGTAGGTTTGAATATCATGAATGACGAAAATATATCTTATTCTTTAATTGCGATATTTGGAAAATCAGTTCAATCTTAATGAGTTAATCTAATATTAAATAACAACAAAAGAATAAAAAATGTTCTATCAATAGATAATCATAAAATTTAAGAAAACAGTCAATAAGAGTCTATGCAAGGCCCTTATAGTGTAATGAATAAGTAAAATTGTCTGAGAATAAATTGTATAATCGGGATTTATTTATTAAATATATGTTTCGGTTTTTTTTTTGAAAGATTTTTTCAGTGAAAATTAAACATTTTAATTTAATATATTAAATAAAATCATAAAATCAAACATGCTCAAATTAGTAAGATGACAAGTTAGCAGTCCAAGTATATCTAGCAACATACATTATAAGAATCATAATCAAACGCCAATTCAGAGAGAAAAGAAATATTTAAATCAAGAAAAATGTATTTCGTGTTCAAATATCCACATACGTTGTTTATATCTGCATCATGATGATTTTGCAAAGTCGTAGTCATAAATTTTTAACCGTTAGTGTCGCTTACTAAAAGCTGTACATATGTTTCTATTGATCCTTTTCTTATGTTTTATAATTGTTTATATTAAAATTGAGGTTAACGTTTAATAACAATAGCAACAGTAATTGATAGCTGAAGAACTTGATGATTCAGTCGCAACCGAATTTTTTTATTTTATATAAATTTCTTATCAAGAATGTACCTGTTATATATAAAAATTGTTACGTTTTAAAATTTAGAAATAAATTAAATATAAATCACCGCGATTTCGATCAAAATTTATATGGAATTATTTTTCATGCACTTCATCACAAGAGAAAATATGATTATCGATCTTCTAAATGTTAACAATATTGACCGGCATGCGTCTTGCACTTTTTGCACTTCTTCGTAAAGTTCTAAATATATTAAATAAATATAAGCATGTGTGTGAAATGATATTTTATGATTGGTAAATTCATGCGAAGATTTTAAATTTGGAGTTTTCTTTAACGTTAATGTACAATTTTTATATCGATATTCCAGCTTTTTTCCCGACGACAGAAATTTTTACGATATACTATCCTTAATAAATTTCGATAATTTCATGCGACCCATTTCGATTCGATGGCATAAGTGTAAGTAGAACTCCGTCGTTGTTATTATGTATGTATTTAAAATTATTATATGATGTTTATTTATACCTGGTCATAACTACCATCGTTGTTGGAAATAACCGGGATCATTCGCAGGTTCTGATTACAGAACTTAAATTGAGCACGAGCATATGTGTATACGTGGTGAAAACAAAGCATATCGACTTGCTCGTTATCTTCTTGAAGAATCAATGTCAAAGTGGCGGTTAATAAATTATGAAGTAGAGAGAATTATCGGTAAGACTCCAGCAGTCTCGAGCATGTACTTTCCGCGTATTATGAGATAAGATAACATCCAACTTAATGACGTGGTAAGTGATTTATACTTAATGAAGCAAAAGCGATTGTTACATGTTGCTTCTATGTCAATTGTCGTCAACACGACGAGTTATTTAACGATTATCACGCTACATTGCACATCGAAGAATCTACGACTCGGTAGTTAGTAACGACTGACGAAGGTCGGTGCGACCATTTTAGAAACACACATTATTGCATAATTGCAAAAATATACTTTAATCGAAGATTTCAATTAGAAAAATGTTTACTTACAAAATATTAAAAAAAATATTAAAGATTTTCAGTTTATTGCGTTCTATTGCAATTTGTTATTAATATACGGTTTAATTACTTCCGC